TCAGGATCACAAGAGCAACACAATTTTAATCACCCACAGCTGTTTACTGATAGTAGCGTAGCTCCGAATATACAGCAAACGATTGATCCATTAATGAATTATAATTTTGCACCTGATCATGAGAACGAGGGCCCTTCATCCTCGATGGGGAAAAAAGGATGGAGCAGGAATTTCAAAGGAATACGCCCTCCAGAAAATAGAGAGAGCAGCAAATGGGTTAAACTCATTGATGATAAGCTCCAATTTGCTGATCCGCTCCAATTTGCTGATCCAAACATCCCTTGGGCCATCACTTCACTATGGAAGTCACGTTTTGATGGCCCGTATTTCACGTACGAGTGTGTCACCCAAAGCAAGATTGCTGAAATTTATAATTGTTTCAAGGTAAGATTAAGTTTTAGCAAATTTAATCAAATGAATGGATTTAACAATTTCTAATAAAAATAAATAATTTCATTACTAAATTAGAATTTACATTTCTTAGACATCTAATGTTATTTATTTTTTATTTTGTAGACACTTTACCAGTGGAATCCTACAAATAATCGCCATGTGCGAGATGCATTCCTAAATTGTATGAAACATAGATGGAGTGACAATTGTAGGGATGAGAAGTTGAAATGGGATAAGAACTCAGCCTATGTCCCATGTTGGATCCCAACTCATATATGGCCTCAGCTGTTGACATATTGGGACTCTGATGAATATAAGAGGCTCAGTGCAAGGGGAGCAAAGAATAGGAGCTCTGGGGAAAGGGTGACTCATACCACTAGGTCCGTTAGCTTTGGCATCCATGAGATGCGGATGGTAATCAAGCTTAATTAATAAAAAATTTAATATATTAGATTTTATTTAACATTAAATTGTGTCAATTTATACTAACTAATATATTGCATTATCAATATTTTGAAATATAGACTGAGTCTAGAGGTGGTGTGCAACCTCCCCATCAGGAGAAATTCAAGGAGATGCACACCTTCAGAAAAAAGGCGGGAAAAGATCAAGAGCCATCGTAGATCAATGAAAAAGCAAAGTATCAATATGTAAGTATATATAACATATAAATTAGCATAAAATGTATAGTTATAAGTGTGAAAAAAATTTATGTAATTAATCTAAATTATTTAGCAAAGTCTACTTTTTTTTTTTTATAGATTCTTTTCAAACTACTTTTGACAACATTATTACTATTACTATTATTTTTTCAGGATACTTATGTTGCGGAGTGCACAGCTAGTCATGGCTCTGATGCTAGTTCGTGGCCACGTATGGATAACGAGGCATGGGTTAAGGCTGTTAGAGGTTGCTCATCTAATTTCATGCCAGGGATTGGCTCCCAAGTAAATCCAGAGATGGTTGGTTTTACTTACAGGAAGAGACAACCCTGAGAAAACTTAATAGCAGCACTGATGGCGTCTAACTATGAGGAGACATAGGCAAAAGATCATGAGGAGTTAGAAAGACAACGCCAACAAATTGCTTTGATGCAACAGCAGCTGGCCAATATGACAGAAACTCAGAATAATATGAGCCAGACAATCGCACAGTCTGTTGCAGCAGCTCTAGCCGCTTATGGCATCTCCCCTCAGGCAGGTCATCATCCAGTTGCCTCACCACAGTCGTCACATGGTTCTGGCTCAGGTCTTCACATGAATTCAGCTTTCACCTACTCCACTGATTCTACACAAACCTCTCCTATGGTCCCTAAATATCAACAGCAGTGGTAGTTTCTGCTTCAAGATGATGATGCATACCATCCTACTTTTGATCCAGACTATCAGGGTCCTTAATGATTAGACATATATTTTAATGATTCATAATTCACATGTCCTAGTCTAGCGTGCTATAAAGCAGAAGAACACTCAATAATATAAGCAGAAACATTATTTATTTCATTAATACTCAATTTGAACATTCCATCACAAGAATAACCTTTCCCCACAAAGTTGTCATTTTTTGATATAATGGCCTTGTCTGATTCTAAGACAACCCTTAGGCCCCATTTACACAACAGATTTACAGACACCAAATTCTTTCTAGGTTAAACCCCAATTTTGGTCCCTGAACTATTGTACGGACCCCCAATTTGGTCCCTGAACTAAAGAAATCCCTAATTTGGTCCTTGAACTATTGTACGGACTTCTGAGTTGGTCCCTAAACTATTGTATGAACCCCCGAGTTAGTCCCTAAACTATTATACAGATCCCCAATTTGGTCCCTACTGTTTACCAATTTAGCTCCAACTTGGTCCTTCTGTTAAATACTAGCTTAGGGACCAAATTGGGGTGAAATTGTAAATAGTAAGGACCAAATTGGGGATCTGTACAATAGTTCAAGGACCAACTTAAGCCAAATTATAAACAATGGGGACCAAGTCGGGGGTCCGTACAATAGTTCAGGGACCAAAATGGGGATTTAACCTTCTTTCTAATATCAGGCACATGGAAAACATTAACCAAGATCAATTTGTGACCCGAAGTGAACCCTAATTCCATTGTGCCTTTGCCTAGAACTTTTGCTGTGACATTGTTTCCCATAAGCACTTCATTTGGTTCCTTCAAATCTTCATAAACTTGAGTTGTGCTTTTTTATTGCACACATGAACTGTTGCATTACAATCCAGCCACCAATCCATAGACTTGGTTGGATTTGCCATGTTTAATTCAGTCACCATCTCGACTTGCATATTAGAAACCATAGCAACCAATTCATGCTCAATCAAATTTGTCATGTTGCTTATTTCTGCGCTGGTGCTAGAACCGAAGTTCTTTGCATTATTCTTGAATTTGCAATCTTTAATAAAGTGACCTTTCTTACCACAATGGTAACAAGGCTGACTTTTCTTGAAAGAAGCTTTCTTGAAAGCATTGTTTTTCTTAAAAGGCTTGGTAGAATTTTGACTCACATAATTAACTTTCAAGGGTGCTAATATTGCATCTCTTGAACGATTTTCTACCTCAATCTAGAGATGTACTGTTTTATAGTAAGAATTTCATCTGAATGCAAAACCTTTTTCCTATAATCATTCCAAGATGGAGGAAGTTTTGAAAGTATTGCCCCCACTTGAAGTGAATCTGGAATCTTTATCTCCAACTCTGACATTCTTGATACTAGAATTTGTAATTCATCCACTTGATCCATGATGGAAATGTCATCTTTCATTTCAAACTCAAAATATTTAAGTGTAAGAAACTTGTTCATACCTTTCTTTCCATGCTTGTATTTTTTTTCTAAAGCAATCTAGATTTCTTGAGGAGAAGACATGTTGCGATACAGATCATAAAGTTTATCAGTGAGAGAATTCAGAATGTGTCCACTACATATGAGTTCATCTTCTTCACGCTTCGGCCTTGTATTCTTCACTACTTCAGAATCATTTTCCTTCGGTGTTTGGATAGGTTGCAGTTTTGGATCAAGAACTTATGACACCTTTAGTGTTGTTAGTAGGAAAGTCATCTTATCCTTCCAACGCATGTAGTTGGTGCCATCAAACCTATTCAATCTAACTACATCTGGATTTAGCAACTTGATGTTGGCATTCATAGGAAAAGCCATAAGGTATTTTAAATCCTTAAGATTGTTAAGAAATATTAAATAGCAAAAAAATAAAAGAATTATTCTGAGGCAAAATATCACTTTCCTTAAGGATTTAAAATCCTCTAGGATACAATAGAACTCAAAACTCTCTCAGAATTAGATGTATAACTCTGACATTGCATAGAAATTTATAATGCCTGAAAAGTCACTATTTGAAGGGATGTATCCCTTCAAAAGACACCATTTCATAGAGGTACCTTTTGACTGCCAATAGTCATGTCTGATTTTCAAACATGTCTTTCCAAATTATAATTTAGTAAAATAAAATAAAAAATTCAAAAATAATAAAAAATTAAGGATGTTTCGGCAGTCAAGCCCCAAGGTGCCCCAAGTGCCCATCTTTGATCTTTGATCATATATAAAGGGCCATGGCACAATTTCCTTTGGGTTTCACTTTACCTAATTATTTGTTGATAAAGAGTAGGCATTTATAAACTCCTTTAAGTTCTCATACTTTCTTGATGTGGGATCTCAAACATTTACAAACTATTCAACACATACTGTAGATTTCTTGTGCTTCCATTAATCTGAATCTTTGTTTCGTCTACTCCTTTCTTTCTGTAGAAAGCCTTTAGAGGTGGTTGATCCTTATCCGACTGATGAAGTGCAGCCATATCGTGACCCATGGTACACTTTTCATGATGGCCTTTTGGAATTCAACGCTTGGTCGGTGAAGAGGGCGCTCGAGAAGTAAAATGATCTAGTTTTGCTTGAGGCTTTCAAAGGGAGTGACATCAGTGCGACATGGTTTCCTTCGCCATGTGATGTAAAAGACAAGACTTACTGCCAATTCCAATTCACTTTGCCTTCCTGTCCGGTAAGATAGAAGATTGGTTGAGTTGGGCTAAAGAGATGCTTGCTGAGAACGGCTTTGTGGAGATATTGCGTGCTGCTGGAATTCTTAAGTTGGTAGCTCTGAGTCAGACTCTGCAAATCAGTGGCAATGTGGAGCGCCTCCATCGTTTAGTGAGGAGGTGTTGAACAAGTACCCATACTTTTATCCTTGCTTTTGGGGAGGTTGTTGTGACACTAGAGGATGTGGCAAACTTGATGTTGTTGTCTATCATTGGGGAAGATGATTCACAACACATAGCATTAATGTTGGAGAAGTGTGACACACCAGTAGCTTTGAAGAAGGTGATGAGGAGGAACACCAGTGCCTCTTCTTGCTCATGGAGGGGAGTATACAGCATTGATTTTCTGACTTGGATGCAATACTTTCGAACAGGCGAAAGTAAAGAAAACCCGTATATATATGCAGCTTTCCTTACGGCTTGGTTGAGTAAGTTATCTTTAGGGGCTTCTTGAACCACGAGATGATGGCTGAGTGTATTCCTTTGGCAATTCGATTGGATGAAGGTGTGAAGATCCCTTTAGCCTCGCTGATGCTAGGTACGCTCTATCACATACTTGATTTGTTCCACTTTGATGAGATTCTCGATGCTAGCTATTACATCATTGAGTCACCTGTATGTTTGTCTTTGCTGTAAATGTTTGCATGAGAGAGATTTTGCCCATATCATCCTAGCTGTGTTACCAGTGGAAAGGCTTTGAAGGAATATCCCATGGTGAAGTGTGGTTACACCAGCAGAATAGCGATGTTAACTTGCTCTTGGATAGGAAAGAGAAAAATGAAGGGACAGATAATCCCAGAAGTTGATGGCCTTCTTCATGACTATGGCAGCTTTAATTTTCATGCGTACAAGACAATGCCAGGGATATTTGCTCCACCCAAGGTGAGCCTCTTTGACAAGACACTCCCAACGGTGCTTGGGAGTCAGATTGTGGAATTTACCATGGGAAACTCAAGTCATGTGGACATGCTAGTGGTGATCACGCCATCCATGCTGCCGTGCATGACATGGCGGGGGACATGGAGTCTAGAGTGCTACTGTCCAAAGAGAGTTGCGAGACAATTTGGTTATGATCAGGATGTACCTCCTGCTCCTTTGAATAAGACAGACTAGAATAAGGCCATGGGGCCTTACATTGATGAAGTTGCCACAGCCATGTGGAGCGAGGTGTCACGGCACGCAAGTTCGGGGGCCGAAGTCATGGGCATCATGGCACGGAGCTGCAGCCACAGGCACACAGGGGGTCTGTGCAGCGTCCAGCAGACATGCCAAGCAGCATCGTAGAGTGTGAGCGCATACATGAGGATAGACGCGAGCACGAGCATGGGCGTAAGCGAAGAAGCGATCAGAAGCGTGGACACGTGCATGCGGGACGTGGGTGTTGGTGTCACGACACGAGGCTGTGATTACGACACGTACGCATACGAGGGCTGAGGCACAAAAGGATCGCTCGAGACGCAACGAGCCTTGCCAGCGGAGGCGTCGATACCGGGGCTGTGGCGTGAAGTTGTGGACGAGACACGCGAGAGCGTGCGTAAGTAGTCGGGGGTGACGTGGATGGGCGCGCTAGAGTGTCCTGGCCCGAGACATGGGTGCACGCACGGGCAAGCTGGGTCGAGGCGCTAGCACGCATGGGTGCGTACGGCTCGAGGCACTGGGGCATGCGAGCGGAAGCACGGGTGTGGGCGCCAGCACGACATGGAACGCTTAAGAGGCGGGCCTGGCATGAGTTGGCAGTGTCAATGCCAAGGTCGTTGCATGGGGTCGCGGTCAAGACATGCAGGCGCTCGCGGGAGCGGCCAAAGGCGTCCACATAGTGTGCCATGCCAGCAGCGGACAGAGTGTCGCCACGTGGAAAATGCACTGGATTATAGTGTCGATACCTATGTGACGGACTAGAACGGCCCAAAATGTTCTAGAAGCTGCTGGGCGCGAGTGGATAACTCCAGACAGGGGTCTGGACGAGCCCACTAGGCCTAACTCTTGTAAATATCTTCCTAGGGCCTTGTACATAGTTCTAGAATGGGGTATTCTAGAATAATCTAGGCTAGGCTATGAGGGAGGGTTGAGAAGCTTCTAGCAACTGTACAAATGAGGGGAATTGTGTGGAGTGTTCTAAAGCCCTTATCTGCAGAGGGGCTTGGGCCTTGTCTCTTCTATAAATAAGGGTGGCCTAAGTAGAAGAGAGGAAAATGCTGGAGAGAGTGAGCTGCTACGTGAGTGAGTGCAGAGAGGGGCTTTGTACTCATGCTCTTGTACACTCCCTTGCGATCTTAATAAATTCTCTTCTTCTCCCAACTTCCTACCTTCGCATTCGTGTTGCTAACCTCAAGCCCAATTAAGGGGCCACGCCAGTGTTGGGGAAGGCTGACTTGGTTCGGGTTTACGAGGGTAATTCCAAGCTAAGTGCCGCACGATGTCGAGCTAGATTCCACCTCCGAGACAAGTGCCATCGGAGCTAGTCTCACCCCGTGACAGAGGGCACTGCCACACAAGTTGTTTAGCACTACGAGAATGTCAACCATGTCGTCACCCATGCTGGAATATTAGGGGACACTGCTGAAGAAGTTTGAAGCTTTCATTCAATCATTGTCGAAAGTGGTGGAGTATGATCTTGCTTCTTGGGATTGTGAACGTCTTTTTACCCATAGTAATTCTTTCTTCAGTTATTGCAGCAAACACTCTTGGGGGTTTCTGACTAGGGAGGATAATGGACAGTGGGTACCCGTCTGTGTTCCCATTCTTGGCATGGTGGAAGAGGAGTATGACCAGGCTGATGTCGTTGGTGAAGAACTTGGGCAAAAGGCAACTTGAGGCGTTGGGGCTAGAGGTAAATATACTCTCTTACTTCTTCTTCTTCTCTTCTCCCTTTATCTTAAGCTTGGTTCTTCTTTCATCTAAGAACTTGGCTGGATTGCATTAGTGCTAAAGAATGCTTCATGTTCCCATGCCTTTCTCATGACATTGCAAAAGGAGCCAATGAAGCTACCCCTCCAAGGAGGTCAGTTCTAGGTAAAAGGAAAAGTGTTGCCCATCTACCTAAGAGTAGAGCACATAGAACTTCTTCTTCGCCAACCAGCAAGCAAAGTAAGGCTAAAGCGCCCACACCCTTCAAGGTGAAAACTGCTAAGGAAAAAGATACAAGTCGTGATAGTGAGAGCGATGAGAGTTCTTAGGGCAACCCAGATCTTGAGGTGATTGAGCGGATCAGGAGATTGAGACCCATTCATGGCGGTAGGCGCTTGTGTGAGAAGTATTATGATTCAAGTGCTTCATTCTAGGTAAATGTACTGCTCGGTCTTTTGTCTATATGCCTTTTTGGTTGTTGTTGACCTCACTAAAGATCCTTTGACATATGATGTAATATTTGTATGAACAGTCAGCATCTTCTAACGAAGGCTTTGGTATGATCCCCATTCCTAGTGACGATAAACTTTCGTCCAAGTCTGAAGAGGCTAAGTGGGTGGAAGCCTTAGCAGTGAACATGGAGGAAGCCTTGGCAAACCTTGAAGTTTGCCAGAAAATTTTGGCGAGCCTCCGCTTCTTGACAATATACTTAATGTTGTTGGCTCTATCATTGATTGGAGTAATCCTACATCCTTCACAGTCGAGATGACGAAGAAAGCTAAAAGCCAAAGAAGTTCTGCCACAAAAGCCTACTACGGTAAGCTGTTTGGACTCGTCCCTTATTTTGAGAAAGGTCGAAATGTGCTTGTTAAGCCCCCCTTCTATTCTGTTGCAGACTAAGGGAGGTGTGAAGATCTCATATGGCACCCCCAATATGACAAAAAAGCCCAAAACAATAAAGACTCAACTAGAAGTGACGGTATTAAAGGTATAAGCCCCTGCATCTCCATAAAATCACTCTTGATAATTGTTGAGGTAAAGTTGTTAACTTTTCTCTCCTTGTGCATAGCCACGTCCCATTAGCAAACTACCTCCTTTGAGGGGTGGTGACTTCGAATTGGTTCCTGGGGGATTTATACCAACAAGGAAAACTGGTGCTGCCATCAATGAGAAAGGTACTTGAAGCCATTCAATGAAATAGTTTGGATTTCAACACCTTGCTTGGTTGAACAACATATTTCTTTGTTGATCAATCATGTCTCCATTCACTTCACCAAGTCTTGAAAAGGGTAAGGCCAAGGCCGCAATCGATGTTGGTAAAGACAACAAAAAGAAGGTCACTGAGGTAATCAGCTTTGATTCCAGTGAGAGTAGTAGCCATCAGTCCAGTAGCAATGATGCCTCGTCTAAGGATGAGAATGGTTCCAAATAGAAGGGCAAAGTTGCGAGCTTTCAAGGTAGCATTGGCACGAACAAGGTTGCCCCCGTAGAATTCGAATCAGACATGGGTGATGCTACGAATAAATTCATCTCCAGTAAAGGCAAAATGGACACTATCATGCCAGTCATGAGCTCGACGAAGAAAGTTGCCAGCCCTAGCGAGGCCGACCATAATGGTCAGCCATCCGCAGCTCCAACTAAGTCAGGTGAGATCAACGATTCGGCCATGAGGCTGCTCAAGAATCTTGACAAGATGAACGAGGAAAGGGATGTCTCATTGGCTCGGTTTGGCTTAGTTCCCCTAGGTGGTTCACGAGCGGTGGGCAGGTTTAAGTGCTCACAATGTTGGAACTGTGGATGCATCATCTGTTGGACATCTTTCCAAATCTAACAATGCGTAGCAAAGCCAACACAGTGGTGGTCGAGGATGCCTTCTCAATCCTTTGTGCGATCATGCGGCACATAGAGGTAACTCCCTTCGCTAAAATGTGTGAAGGCTTCTTCTATTTGTGTAGAGATGCCCTTGACGATGCTGAGAGTATAAACTTTGAAATCGATGCCGTTCGCACTCATTTATCAAACTTGGCAAAGGCATACCTTGGGAAGATTGAGTTTGGCACGACCGGAGGTGACATGGCTGAGGGCTTGGACGAGCGAATTAGGGAGTAGGCGAAGCATATAAAAAAGATGGAGAAGTCTTTGGTGGAGACAAAAGAGCTCATCGTCAAGCTAGATGAAAGATTGGTGTCAGCCAAGGCGTATCTTAGATTGCTCAATCAAGAAAAAGAACATTTGGACTCCAACAGTGTGACTGAGCTTCGCCAAGCCTATATGGAAGCTACTACGGCCTTTGGAGACAAGCTTGGCCCCTTCCTGTCATGAATCAGCCTCGCGTTCTAACTTTCTCTTCATCTGTATTTCTTTTCCCTTACAGTATATTGACTATTGGCGATGTTGCCATGATGTAACCCTATAGTCGTGTCTGTTTTGGGTTGAACATCTTTGTTTCCAGCGAAGTCTGGACTTTGTTGCTTGTTTATTTTCTTGCTCATTTCTCCTTGCTGTTTTGAATATATCAACTAGACAGATAAATTTGTGCTAAAGAAATGAATCAGGGAGGTTGTTTTAGATCATGTTATATGATGCTCTCCTTCTTTTTCTCTCTTCTCTCTTTTTTTTTTTTTTTTTTTTTTTTTTTGTGAACACTTCCTGTCCCTTTACAATGGTAGAGTAGAATGAAAGGAATGCAAATAGGTTGATACATAAAGTGCCGAATATAATACAAGAATGCTATTTGCACCTTACATTTGATGATATATCATGGATGAAATTAATTCTCTTGGTTGGAATAAATGACAATGCTAGAGACAAAATTACAAAAATAGATGAGGTTGGTGAAACCTAACAATAGTATAGCTTAAGGCACTTAGCATTCACGGGATTCGATAACGATTCTCCCATGTGAGTTTTGAGATGATAATATATACTATCATGTGCTTTCATGACGATGAAGGGACCATCCCAGTTGGCAGCAAACTTAGATGGTCTAGCGATGTTCTCCCTTATATGGTCAGAGGCTTTGAGAACCATTTGTCCAACTGTGAAAACTTTAGCTTTGACTGTTTAATTGTAGGCATTTGTATCTTGCCTCAATATTTTTGAGTCTTCTCCTGTGCCATTTGGTGAAGTGCTTCGACAGATTCCAGGTTTTCAATTCATCTCCGACCACAAATGTCGATATTTCTATCCAGTTCAAATGCAACCAAGATACGTGCAGTTGGCACTAGGATCTCATCAGAAAGGATAACATCACAACCATACACCAGAAAATGAGGTGAAAAGCTTGTAGCAGTCTTGGATGATGTTTGATAAGCCCAAAGAGTATCCTGTAAATGAATGCTCCATCCTCCTTCGTACTCATGGCCCATCTTGCTCAAAATCCTTAGCAAACCTTTGTTAGTTGCCTCCGCTTGGCCATTGCCTTGGGGATAGTATGGAGTGTGATGCACTAAAATCACCCTAACAAGTGTACTAGTCGCTCCAAGTAATATAATGATGAGAGAGTGTCGAACCCACGAGGATTGTGTCTAACTAAGTACCAAAATAATTAATCTAAATTTATTTGGACAATCAAATAGAAAGAAACTTTAATTAAAAATAATAAAAGAAAATAACAAATAAACCTAACCAAGATAGGAGGTACTAAGCCATTGATTTCACCATAATCAATCAATATAAATTCTGGATTACCAAATTGTTGAGTGTTATTGCATGCGATGGCGGATTTCCCTAAATTAATTAACTAGCTTTCTCAAGTCAAGTTAATCCTTTACTGGTTTGTTAAATTAATCATATCTCTATGTAATTTTAAACAAACTAATGAGCATTAGATTCTATGGAAACCTCTAGCTTAAGAAGGGGGAGCTACTAACTCTCTTCTCTTCCTCCACTACCACATGTGAGCTAATTACCTCTCGGTCTCATAGTCTAGCACATGGTTTATATTATTATTGGTCTAATCTACGCAATTTTTTCTCAAGTTCATGCATAAATCACTAAATCAATTGAACTCCTCATGCGAATAACTTTAATTGAAAATATAAAATCACAAAATCTATATTGAATTGATTAGGTTACATCATAGCCTTAATAAAATAAATCAGTTCATAATAAAAAGAATAAAATATGAAATCAAAGTTATGAACATTCAAATATCAAACAATAAATAAAAACCCAAGGAAAAACAAAACCCAATTTGAGGAAATCAAACTCCTTGATCTTTTATTATTGATGGAACCTCAATCTTGATCTCCAATAATGCTCAAAAGAGGGCTGCCACCAGCCTCTCCAAAACTCTCTTAATTCTGAATTTGGATGGGTATTTATAGGATTTTAGAAATCTTAATTGAAATAGAAGTAGGACTTGGAATAGAAATAGGAAACTGAATTTTAGATGCTGATCGCGTGGTGCTGACACTTCGGATTACGTGTTGATACAAAATAAGAAACAGAATCTGATCCTAATTTTGATTCTGGACGTTTAGCGCATGGTGTCGACACCCCGATCATGTGTCGACACTACACCCGTGTCGGATTTGCAATTTCTTCAATGGTAAAATAGCAGATTTGGTTCTTGACTTTTGGATTCTGCACAAGTTGATCCTCAAGTCTCTGATCTCTTCAATTTACTTCTAAAAAGTAAGATTTCTTCCAATTAAATCATTTCCTACACAAAGAATGAAAACCATGTAAAATCAAACAAAATCCCATAAAATTCATCCAAATATCAATAAAATCAAAGTAAAAATTCCCTATTAATATGTATATAAATTTAGTTCATCAAATTCCTCCAAACTTAAGTTTTACTGGTCCTCGAGTAAAATAAAAAGACAAAAGAAACAAAAATAAAATCTAACTCACTTTCGTAGGAATCACGATTGCACTTAGCATGTGCAACAAGCCTTTA